TTGTCACGCCTTTAGGCGTATATGGCATGACGTATATTTTATAGACCGATCGGCACAAGACGGGTGATGTGGTCAGTATCACGCCGGTCGCTTTTACTTTCCGTGACTGCACCCGGTAACTCTTGAATCGACTTGGGAACCAAGGTGATTTTTTTTTTAGAGTCCGGCTCCGCCAGGGAGCGAACTCCCAACTTTAAGATCCGCAGGCGAGCGTCTAGCAGCTACGCCACGGCGACTCCCTAATCAACATCGGGAATTTCAGTAAAAAAGTTGACTTAGAGAAGTGAACAATTTGAACTGACGTGTTGTAACGTCATTAGTACACTTGTTATATTTGTACGATCACAGTAAATAAAGACACGCCCATCGGCAAGTATCGATTTCTTTATATCCGATCTAACAACCGTACTGTCCGGTCTCTGTTCTGTGTCTTCATTAATAATACAAGGGCCTAATCAGGAAAGCTGCTGTAGAAACACCACAACTCAAATAAAGCTGTAATTTCCTTTCGATTCATACATCGCACTCATGCCGACAGCTTACGTTTCCAGTCTAGTGTCACAGAATTTCACAGTTGTTCGACATTGGCTTCAGATTCACACCGACCCAGCCTTGATTCTTCTTAGTCTCAGGAACTTTCACACATGATCAGAAACTTCTCTATTCATAACAGTCGCTCCTTTCTGCAGTCGATGTCTCGCTCTGTCATCCAAACACCAACTGAATCTACATCGTCTCTTCGTTCAAACGTTCGTTCAAATCCCACACTTTGCCCTTACAACAGTTCACAAAACAAGTTACATTCTAAACACGCCTTTTCCATGCGTTCCCTCGTTTTGCTGGACTTCTGACCGTATAACGTCACCTAGGAGACTCTCTGGGGTTACCTGGCAATTTTCCTTATTACAGGGGAGATACTTTCTGACACATCTGTTATCTGCTTTAATAATGGCAGAAAAGAAGAAAAGACTTGAAGAAAAGACGCTGGTGTTGGATAGGACACATGTTCAGGAAACATAAGAACAATATAACTAGAATGTCTTTGCATTGGAACCCACAGGGGCATAGAAATAAAGGAAGACCAAAAGCACATCGAAAAGGGAGTGACGGAGTGAAGTTAAAAAGATCAGGGGACACTGGGAGAACATAATGCGATAGCGAAGAATAGAACGAATTGGCGTAAGTTGGAAGAGAGCCTACGCTCCATTGGGGAAAGGCAGAAAAAGAAGTCGAAATGTATGTTTTCAACAACAACAAAATTTCCGTGAGAGTAGAGTAATGTAAATTATTCCACACGCTGTTACGTGATCTTTCAGCTGTGTCAACAGAAAGATCAACTCTTGTGAGAAGAAAATTAGAAATGTCAGTCATTTCGAAAGCATTATCACTCTTGTGTATGTCCCTCACGCTGAGACGGACACCAGATCGTGTGCATTTGTCTGTGTCTTGTTATCTAACTATGCTTGGTCTGTTCTTAGTTCGCAAATTAGTCAAGATATGAGTGCGTCTAAAAAAGTTTTATAGTGTTTCTTTTCATCGCTAAGAAATGTGTAATTTTCAATTGGTTCTGGGTTTGAATCTTATCCACTGCATAATGCCTTCTTAGACTTTTTGTGTACATATTTTTTTAACATTAGGTCAGAGGTAATAAAATATTCGACCTACCCGTTGAACAGATAGTCTTAATAGATAATCTGAAATCGGTTAGACTGATTTAGTCTTGAGAAGTATGTTTGTTTCTTCGATTTCAATCCAGCTGTTATTTAGTCTCTTTAGAGGTCAGGCGTCCGTGTCATTTCTTAGTGGCTGTATCTTTACTTTAATGCCAGGTATACAAAGACCAAGGTAGACCAAGGTAGATCAAGAACAAGATGGAAGGATAACATCAGAGAAACTCTACAACAGCACGATGTGTCTATGGTCGAGGCGGCCAGAAGAGCTAGAAACAGAACCTTAAATCTCCCTCGACACCCACAGCGGTAAAAGAGAAGGTGAAGAAGAAGAAGAATACAAAGACCAGTGTATCTGATAGGCAGACGTGGAGGCAACTAAATGTGAATAATAGCACACTGGAATACGAGCGTAGTAGCGTTGGTTCAATCCCCTGTTTGGCGATGAAAAATTAATTAAGTTACATAAACATATGAAACCTATTCACTTTTGAGAAGTTGATACAATGGACCAAACAATGCAGGGGACCTTGCGGCGAAATAATGAAAGCGTTTGCTTATTGCTCTGGTTATTGTGGGCTCATAAACGGACTCGACCTTTTGGTTCACGACTAGAGCTCTTACGAAGATCATCGTCAGTTGATGGTGTTGACCATCTGATCCGCTCCCTCCACCTCTGATGGTCACATGCAATAGATTTGATGTTTGCAAGTCTGAAGCCCTTCCACTCTGTCAAAACTAAGTACCCAGATCCTTCTTGGTCTTCTTCTTCTCGCATCCCTCCTTCACTAAACCCTGTAGTATCGTTTCCGAGATCTATGAATCTTATTACATGTCTGTTTCAATGTATTGTCCGTCTTTTCACTGATTTTTAAAGAGGTGCATACAGAAAGACAACATACTTATTTCTCAAAACTAAATCAGTCTAAAAGATTTCAGATGAAATGAGAGTTGAGTTTATTCAGGAACTTCTTCTTCTTCGCGTTCACCAGCTGTACACTCTGGCGTAAAGTTCTGGTTGTTCGTCCACTTCTGGACTGCAGTCCTGCTCCAAAACCTGAGTGTTGCGTGTGCATCAGTTTTACAGATCTGTTTCTGCTGGTTCCTTGCCTCTCAGGCAGATGCACTCCGACTTCAAAGGAAGCTCCCCAGTTAGTCGACTCTTACGACATGCTTTTGGGGAGGCAGTGGGTCTATTCTTGTTTTCCCCACAATAGGGCCCCGGAACCCACACGGGGGAGTCAGGAACTGACATTACAGCACTTGGGGCATTCCTATGCGTGCTCCGTCTTCATCTTCAGAGTTCCAATACTGATGGTACAGGTCACAGTCTGGTTATATCTCGTGTCTCTTGTGATTCTGTTGCTTGTTGTCAAAGGGCCTTAACCACATCTGCCTTGTCATGTATCAATTCACCACCCAGTGGTGCAGATCCAGCTAATCTGTCTGCTCTGCCTGTTCATTACCCACCACGTCGGCATTGCCTGAAGAAAAGATCGAAAGTATGCTCACTACCTGCGACCTTCCCAGTGAAGCTTGCCACTCTGACACGAAACGTAATTACTTATCTTCCCTGATCGCCATACATCCTTGTGCTGCTAGGCTTTCTCTTCATTGATTTCCATTGTCAGTGGTCGATTTCGATGGTCCCATGGCATTTTAGTTCTTCTGGAATGTTGTATCATTGTTAGTTTTCTGATATTCCTGTCTTTTCCATTGTGTGTGTTTAATTCTCATGATAGCTCCCACTGATACGCATTCATGCGTATTGGGCATATAAGGCTAGACCTGTACCGTACAGACCACTCAGCACTAGGTGGGTAATGTGGTCAACATCACACCGGCTGCTTTTACTTTCCACGACTTTACTTGATGTCTGTATAAGTCTAGGTTGACCTGAGAGCCAAAGCCATTTACACACACACACAAAAGTTAATTTTTAAAAAGCATAGTTCTGTCAGGACCTAGACCCAGGACATTCAGACCCGCAGGCGGGCGTTTAGCCACTACACCACTGTTTGTCCCCTACTGATAAAGTATAATTGGCTAAAATCTTTGCATATTTTGGGTTATTAAACGAAGTGTGATAAATTATTTAACTTGACTACAAATTTCTTCCATAAAAACACTCCGAAAGCCTTCAGTGCCAAAATCAACATGTTAGATATTTTCGAATATCGCGCTAGAGTAGGTAAATAAGTAAAGGCTCCTTTTTTGTGCCAGTGGCACATCATGTCAATGTGAAACTTAAAGTTAGTTGCGTCTCCATTACAGAACGTTGCAGAAAAAAAAAAAACAGCATTTTTTGGCTGTTGTGGTTTTTCTAGGCAAGTTTACTTCCAGTAGTTTGCTATTGCTTACTGGACGGTTGGCTTCTTGATACCACTGACGAAACTATCGCAAGACACAAGGCCCGCAGCTGGGGTCTAACCTGGCATTTAGGCATTACGAAGCGCGTTCGCAACGCCTAAGCCATAGACGCCGACATGAAGCTGTATTTATAGCTTGAAAGAAAAGTCGGCGACGGTGTCATAAGAGGCCACTAAGAGGTGTTGATGTTTGCCTGGCAACCTCACCTGGTAGATAACACCTCCGAAATCTAAGCAAACATTAACAAAACTTGAAAGAGTTGTGAGAAATGTTGTTTGTTTGTTTGTCTGAAACAACCCAATTAGTAAGGGCACCATGCATCCGATTATCACAAAGAAAGTCCCATTTGATCAGTGTGTTCCGGCCTTTCCATAGGTACTTCCCCCCTCCCCCCCCCCCGCCCCTCCCACCCCATTCCACTAATCCGACAATTGTCCCGTTTTATAATAATCCAGGAATCAGTTCGAGAATAGAACATACACTTATATTTGTAAACACATATAAAAAACATACACTTATAGGTGAATTCACATATATAAACCACACATTTATAGGTGTATACATATATATATTACTTATAGGCGTATACCCTTATATACACCATACACTTATAGGTATATTCACATAGACAGAACTTTCACTTAAAGGTGTGTACACATATATAGAACACACACTTATGGGTGTGTTACACAAGTGTGTACACATATATAGAACACACACTTATGGGTGTGTTACACAGGTGTGTACACATATATAGAACACACACTTATGGGTGTGTTACACAGGTGTGTAAACATATATAGAACACACACTTATGGGTGTGTTACACAGGTGTGTACACATATATAGAACACACACTTATGGGTGTGTTACACAGGTGTGTACACATATACAAACTGAAAAGAAAAATATACAGATCTGTAGACTACATTAGTGAAACCATTTAAAACAAGTCATGTAATGGAAACTATAGAAACAAGTCATGTAATGGAAACTATAGAAACAAGTCATGTAATGGAAACTATAGAAACAAGTCATGTAATGGAAACTATAGAAACAAGTCATGTAATGGAAACTATAGAAACAAGTCATGCAATGGAAACTATAGAAACAAGCCATGTAATGGAAACTATAGAAACAAGTCATGTAATGGAAACTATAGAAACAAGTCATGTAATGGAAACTATAGAAACAAGTCATGTAATGGAAACTATAGAAACAAGTCATGTAATGGAAACTATAGAAACAAGTCATGTAATGGAAACTATAGAAACAAGTCATGTAATGGAAACTATAGAAACAAGTCATGTAATGGAAACTATAGAAACAAGTCATGTAATGGAAACTATGGAAACAAGATTGAATATTTAATAATTAATGGGTTTTTCTTATACAATCATACAAAATTTTATGTTCCTAAAATATATTGGTTCCCAATTATTATAAATAATAATAAATTCCGTAAAATAAAAATTGTGCGTGAGCCGATGAGGGGAGAAAAAGGGGAGGGGGGTACTAGGTGGGGTTTGGGGGTGGGGGCTGTGTTAATCTGATTTACTTGAAATAATGTGTTTTTAGCTCAGCACATTCTAGTCACATTACAACAATTGCCTCCTTCGATATTCTTGTGGGGATGGGGTGTGGTACATAAGGAACTGCATTAAAGAGTTGCCACAACATGAGGAACTGTGTTAAAGGGTCGCCACAACATGAGGAACTGCATTAAAGGGTCGCCACAACATGAGGAACTGTATTAAAGGGTCGCCACAACATGAGGAACTGCATTAAAGGTTCGCCACAACATGAGAAACTGTATTAAAGGGTCGCCACAACATGAGGAACTGTATTAAAGGGTCGCCACAACGTAAATAACTGCATTAAAGAGTTGCCACAACATGAGGAACTTTGTTAAAGGGTCGCCACAACATGAGGAACTGTATTAAAGGGTTGCCACAACATGAGGAACTGTATTAAAGGGTCGCCACAACGTAAATAACTGCATTAAAGAGTTGCCACAACATGAGGAACTTTGTTAAAGGGTCGCCACAACATGAGGAACTGTATTAAAGGGTTGCCACAACATGAGGAACTGTATTAAAGGGTTGCCACAACATGAGGAACTGTATTAAAGGGTTGCCACAACATGAGGAACTGTATTAAAGGGTCGCCACAACATGAGGAACTGTATTAAAGGGTCGCCACAACATGAGAAACTGTATTAAAGGGTCACCACAACATGAGGAACTGTATTAAAGGGTCACCACAACATGAGGAACTGTATTAAAGGGTCGCCACAACATGAGGAACTGTATTAAAGGGTCACCACAACATGAGAAACTGTATTAAAGGGTCACCACAACATGAGGAACTGTATTAAAGGGTCGCCACAACATGAGGAACTGTATTAAAGGGTCGCCACAACATGAGGAACTGTATTAAAGGGTCGCAACAACATGAGGAACTGTATTAAAGGGTTGCCACAACATGAGGAACTGTATTAAAGGGTCGCCACAACATGCGGAACTGTATTAAAGGGACGCCACAACATGAGAAACTGTATTAAAGGGTCGCCACAACATGAGGAACTGTATTAAAGGGTCGCCACAACATGAGGAACTGTATTAAAGGGTCGCCACAACATGAGGAACTGTATTAAAGGGTCGCTCCAACATGAGGAACTGTATTAAAGGGTCGCCACAACATGCGGAACTGTATTAAAGGGTCGCCACAACATGCGGAACTGTATTAAAGGGTCGCCACAACATGAGGAACTGTATTAAAGGGTCGCTCCAACATGAAGAACAGCATTAAAGGGTCGCCACAACATGAGGGTCTGTATTAAAGGGTCGCCACAACATGAAGAACAGCATTAAAGGGTCGCCACAACATGAGGGTCTGTATTAAATGGTCGCCACAACATGAGGAACTGTATTAAAGGGTCGCCACAAATAAAGGGTACCAGGGTTAACACACTGGGGTAAATAGAAGAACGTCGCTGTAGCTACGGAGTTGCGTGCGGACGGCGATACAGGCGGAGGTGGCAGAGCACTTATGATTTATACCCGTGTGCAATGGCACTGGTTCACATCTCCCGACTTTACCTGAATCTTTTCAAGCTCAACACCCTCAACCCTATTCCCTTTCCCCTTTTTTGCGTCATACACAACCTTGAAAATGAAACACACTGCAGTAAAGACAGAGACTTTCTTTGATTACACTATTTTCTGTTTTATACCTTCTGTTTATGTTAAAGAATTTCTTTCTTTATATCTTCCATAAAATTCCTACCAGAGGGCTGCGTGGTCTCGAGGCATGGTGTCCGCCTCGAGTGCTAGAGATCCCGGGTTCACGCCCCGGTGAAGGCTATGATTTTTGCACGTGAATTTCTAGTAATTTTCTCTGTGGGTAGTAAGATTGGAGGCCCGTGTGTATTGTTGCACACTTAAAAAATCCTTTGGCAGTTGGAAATCGAAAAGAGTAGCTTAACACGCTGCCAGCGCAAAATTGAGAGTTAAAAATCTACCTAAAGTATTTCAGTATCCTTGCCGGTGCAACAGAGTTCGTGCACTGCGATGAGAACATCGGACTCAGAACGGAGCACTTATGAGTTACACCCGTGTACCATGATTGTCGCGCGCCCACGTGGGTAAATACACTGATATAGTGAGGGTGTGGGTTTGAACCTTAACAATGCCCACCCACGTGAGAAACTGGACTATTATCTAAGCTATGTTGATCCTAGACAGTCCTGGATAGCCAAGAAAACAGCGAGTGGCTCGTTCCATGAAATGAAAGTTGTTGTACTTGTATCCACAGGAGTAGGAGAAGGGATAGATAGATATCAGGATACACCCACTGTGATATTATCTCGATACACAGTTAACCCCTGCGACTATTCTCCTCTCCTGGCATTACTTAAAAAGCCCCCATCAAGTGATTTAAATATTTGTTAGCTGAAGTAAACTAATATGCACCAAGACACTTGAACCTAAGTACACAATTTACTTAACTCTCATGAAACTCATCACACATGATTTATTTAATAAATCGAAATTAAAATGAACTTGTTTAGGCTAGTAGAGTTGGGATGATGTTGATGAAATCATAAAGGTATTGGAAAGTAACAACCTTTGGACAGTTCTCGGCTTGAGACCCTGCCTATCTTTTCCAGTTTGTCGTCCTCACTGCTTTCTGCAGGTCGTTACACTCGACGGTCGGCAAATAATGGATGCCTACTAGTCCCTGCCCAATGTGGGAACTGGAGAATGAAGAAACAAGCGCATATTTGTAGTATCTGCTCTAGATGTACACTAAGCATGTATATTATACTAACATCAAGCATGTTTATTTAAATAAAACATTTCATCTCTCCCTCATGCTCACATTCACTCCTGTCCAATTTGGAAGGGCTTATGTCTCACATTCCAACTGTTACATCTTCTGCCTTCCTCTACACGTCCTGTAATGATAGTCAAGTCTTCTACGTCAGGTGCCCTCTCTCGTACAGACTCAAAATGACAATCAGTCAGACAGAACCAGTTCTGGAATCTATGCTTGGAACAATCGACGCGCCCAGAATGCTAACAATAGTTCTGGGGCGAATCAAATAACAAATCTCGTGGATTTACTCTCCGGGATCAATCTCCGCATTAGCCTCCCGAGAGTTAAACACATTTCAGTGTGTTAGCTGTATGTAATACAGATTCACATTAACCACACGTGAAAAGATTGCCAAAGTTATCTTCACGCTTGTGATTTCAAAAACATGATAGTTCATTAAATTTCAATGGCAACAACAACATTTAGGTTTTACAACATTGAAACACATGTGCCCGAAAAACATTCATGACACTATCAAATAGGAAATAAAGCAATGTGACAGTGCCCTACGACAATGAAGAAATGTCCGCCTAGGAGTACTACAAAGTGATGAAGACACACACTTGAGCAAAAAGACAGATCTCTATCATAAAATATAGATGTGAACCTAATTTCGATCTTACCTGGAAAAATGAAATCACGATGCCAAAAGTTCTGTCTCAAGCTTAGGTTAAGCCCAACAGATGGCATGTGCTAGACAGGATCTCATTTACCAGACCTAGCGTTCACCACTTTATAACTTTTATCAAGCTCCTCCTACATTACGCCTAAAATCCTTTTCATTCACGGGTATCACAGCTCCTCCCCTGTGGGTAAGTTTATTCGCTGTCAGTCAGGGCTGTACAACACTTATTTAAATTCCCACGCTAGGATCTCCTGGTTCAATTAAGCTGGTCAAAGCTAATAGGCCCAAGTCACACCTCTGGCTACTTCACCTGCCATCACAATAAAATCAGACGGTGTCAATCCTTCTGTTAACACTTTCTGCTCACCATGTCAATAGTGACCGTCGGACCTGCCGTCGAGTTAGGTAACCTCAGGGGGAATTAAACACAATTAGCCGGAGTTAGCTGCTCCTAAAAGTCTGGCTAGGAGATAACATTTCTGACACCAACAGATGGTGTGCAAATCTCCAGTCAGTAAGTCTGCTTGGTCAGTCTTATCTCTGTACCTTAACACTTAACGTCTGGGGAAAAGTTTTAGTGTGTGATATCGCCAACATCCCAGGAGAATTAAATGCTTGTTCATTTCGCCTACTTAAAATAAAGAATGTATCCAAATCCCTATTTTCCTGTATACTTTCAAAATACAAAGAAATAAAAGTAGGTTGAGGAAAGACATTCTGGAGTCACCGAGCGTATTGTCACAATGATGTTGATCCGTTGAATAAAGAGTAAACAATAAAGTTTCTGACAATTCGTGGATATATCTACATTTCTAAAATTTCTTCTTTACACTGGAGTGCACCATCTCATCCTGGGGTGTTGTCATTGATTTAACCCCACTGCCTCTGGGTTATCTACCCATGGCTTCCCCAAACTCATTGACAGTAACGGAGACAAGCAGAGAAAGGGGACATCATCATTAATCTTCGAAAATGTCCCAACCATCTAGGACTGGTCGGGTTTTCTCCGCATCGATTTTCACTCCTAGCTGTCGCCTTCAGCTGTTCCCACGCCGTCGTACTCTTCGTCGTTTGATTTGTTGTTAGCCATCTCATTTTATATGTATATATATCCTTTGCTGGACGTTTCAGAACCAACCCCAGCAGCCCCTGGCTGTTCTGTGGTTTCTCTAGGCAAATTTACGTCCAGTAGTTTGCCATTGCCACTGGACAGTCGATCCCCTGATAGCACTGTCGAAACCAACACAAGGCGCATGGCCTGCAGCTGGTATCAAAATCCGGCACCCCGGCTTTACGAAGCGTTCGCATCGACTTAGTCACAGAGCTGACTATATATACATACTTAAAGGTAGAAAAAAAAAACTTT